TTTAGCGACTGACAAGATTCCTGTACTAACTTCTTTCTAGTAGCACCAGGAAACAGAATGGTCAGGAAAGATTTCTTTGAGGAAATAGCATTTGAGCTGAGGAAAAAAAAAAATATCTTTGGAAGACTATTGGAAGAAACTAGCTATGCAAAGAGCAGAGAGATTAGGATTTGTGCAAAGGAAATATAGTTATGAAGTCCTTGAGACAGGAATGCACTTAATTTGTACAAAATACTGAAAGAAAAAAAAAAAAGATGACCTGTATGGCTAAAATCTAGTAAACGACGCATATGTGGGACACGCTGAAGTTAGCAGGCAGAAAAGCAAGCTCAGACATGGCCATGTGGGCAGAGTACAGATTTTATTCTAAGCACAATGGGAAACCACTGGAGGGCAATAAACAAACAGGGTGACATGGACCACTCTGCCTTGTTTGTGGCTTGTAGCAGAGCCACAAGTAGAAGCACAGAGATCAGTTAGGAGTTTATGGTAATCTAAGTGGAGTGGTTTGAGTCATGGTAACATAAGTGAGAATGAAAGGAAGGAAGAGTTTTTGAGAAATAATTTGAATGCATATTGACAGGTGTTTTGGCTAAAGTAACTGAATGAATGGTAGTAACATTTGCTGAGATTGAGGAGCTTCAAAACGAGATGGGAGAGGAGGCAGGAAGGCTGGAGGATGAGGAAAACAGATGAAAGAGTTCTGTTTGGGATGTGTTTAGTTGGAAATGTTTAATTCATATCCAAATAGAAATTATTTACATCAAGTATTTCTTAGTCTTTGACCTTGAAGACAAGGCCTGGTGCCCACTGCAATGCATGAGCTCAAACTATATTTCTAGCTCTAGTACAGATCAAACGTATACTTCAACACAAATGATAAAGTTGATAGAAATTTAGTCTCAGTAGAGCATTGCTGTTTCAAGACTTATAATTATTTGAAAGCTCTTTAGATGATGTGGAAGGCTGAAATGTTTACATAAATTAAAAGAACTAATCCTCTGTGTGTTCTAAGCACTACCTGGAGAGGGCCTTTAGAGCTGCCCAGCAACGATATCGTATTTTCCTAATTATTCACTCTCCTACTCTCCTAACTGCTTTTCTCTTTTCAATTTTTTTTTTTTCCTGAGACAGAGTCTTGCTCTGTCGCCCAGGCTGGAGCACAGTGGTGCAATCTCAGCTCACTGCAACCTCCATCTCCTAGGTTCAAGCAATTCTCCCGCCTCAGCCTCCCAAATAGCTGGGATTACAGGCATGTGCCACCACACCTGGCTAATTTTTGTATTTTTAGTAGAGACGAGGTTTCACCATGTTAGCCAGGCTGGTCTAGAACTCCTGACCTCGTGATCTGCCTGCCTCGGCCTCCCAAAGGTCTGGGATTGCAGGCGTGAGCCACTGCACCCAGCCCTCTTTTCAAATTTCTAACAGCTCTTTCTCACTCTTACTCTTAGATGATTCTATTAAAAGAGAATGTCCCCCACCACAACAATCCACCTAATTCTCTCTGTGCCCATATTGCCTTCTTTCTCTCCAGTTAAAAATCTAGAAATGTCTCTATTCCTAGCAGAACTAAATGAGATCCCCCTCCTCTGTGGCTGCCCAAGGACTTTTCCCAGCATTTCTCCATTTCCTGTCCTCTATCACTGATCCTTCCTTTCATGCTGGATATGTATATCCTATCATACTAGAATTGTAGATCACAACATTAAAAGCATGCTGTCTGGAGCCATACTGCCTGGATGCAAAAACCTTTGAAATGTTTTTATCCGCTCACCAATATTGCTATTTTTCACAGCCAAAAACAAAACAAAAAAGTTGCCTGCCCCTTTTACTGCCTGCTACAGCCCCATTTCTTTGCTCTGTTTGCAGCAAACTCCTAAAATGTATATTCAACATCTCCAATTCTTTTTCCTTTCACCTCTCATTGTCGTAAATACACTCCAAATTTTGTCCCTACCACTTCTTTATAGATTCCTCTTTTGGTCTCCAATGTCTTGTCCTCAGAATGCTTCTTTTCTACCTGCACTCAGTCTCTTAGTGATGGCTTTGATTACTATCCATATGCTGTCAACTCCCAAATATTTATCTCTCTCCCAACCTCTTTCTAAACTTATCCAGCTGCCTACTTAACTTCATTTGGGTGTCTTCTAGACATCTTACATCTAATATAGCCAACACTGAGCACCAACCCCAAACATTGATTCCCAGTCTCAAACCATTACCTCTATGAATGGCAACTTTATCCTTCCAGTTGCTCAAGTCAAAAAACTGGTATCATTCTTGACATCTATGTCTGGCTTACACACAACACTCAACCCACTCTTGTCTTCCTCTGATAGCTGAGGCCTAGAGAAGCTAACTGACTTGCCCACAATTCCTCAGCTAGCAAGTTACTGCCAAGATTCATTCCAGTGGTAAAGTTCTCTCCAGTGCTAAAGTCTGTGCCAACTAGTGAACAGCTCACCTTCAGTCTAGGTTGGACGCTAGCCTAAAAATGAGTCATCCAGCCAATCATAAAAATAGAAAAGAAATAGGTATAGTGTTTATATATTCCAAAGAGTCTCTGAAGTGACTGAATTATAACTTTAATATATGGCCTCTCATATATTACATTTGCACAGCTGGTAAAAGAAATATGTTCTGCAATTTGTGAACACACTGATAGGACAATTTATCAAAGATTTAGTAAGGGCTTCTTTTCCTTCCTGACTTCAGATAAAATTGTCAGGCACAAAACCTTCTGTATCACATTGTCTAGACTTCAGATGAGCAGATTTCCCAGAGCTCTTACCAGAAGTGACTGTCAAAGATATCCTCTGATCTTTCTTATTCTGCCCATCTGTTTTCACTTGACTTTCCAAATTTGGCAATTGTCAGCAGATTTATGAAGTTGTGGGAAGACACCAATGACCCATCTCATCTTCCTTCCCTCTGTAATTCTCAAACGCAAGCAATATCAGCTTGTCTCAAAGATGTTATCTGTCCAAATTGTTTTGATTCTTTGCCCTCAGTGTTTTTGTTACACATATTTTACATGATGTCAGAACATAACATTCAGAAAAAAAACAGCTTAGGGAATCCACAAAGTTCACTGAGCATAAACATGGTTTACTAGCATCATACTAGGTCAGTTCCTTTAAAAGAGGCTACCTAGAATATTTAGTGGCCTCTCTAAAGTTTTGTTTTTTGTTTTCTTTGCAGCATTTTGTTTTAAAATCCCAGTGTTTAGCTTCATGATCCTTTGGGCTTTTAAAGAATAGTTGCCTTCATCTTTTAAGGATGGCAGTGGTATACTGGGAGAATATATTTTGAGAACAGTCATTTTCATGGCTCAGAATCCTTCTTATGTGGTGTTACAAAGAGTGGTGATATTTTTGTTATGATTTGTAGTAATTCTAACAATTTCTTCATTCTCTTACTAAAAGAATCTGCCATCTCCATTCCTTCCTCACCATGTTTCGAATTTGCTCATTCACCCTTAGAAACAATACTTCTCTGTTAAAGTCACAATGTGTGACAGTGAGGTTTCAAGAGTTCTGGTTAGGCATTTTGTAGAATGGCCTTCATTTTGCATTTGCCTCACAATTTCTTATTATTGCACTGAGGTTATGAATTTCTACAAAGAACCCCACTAGGTGAAGCATCTTTCTCATTGCATCATGTCAGAGGACAGATGATATTAATGTGATTTATCTCTGGTGATTTTAACTTTGATCACTTGGTTAAGGCCGTATCTGTCAGGCTTCATTCTTATGCTTTTCCCATATTAAATAACAATTGCAAGGCTTACCTATGCTAGACAGTGCCTCCTGAGTATGTTCTGTCTGATGATTTACATTCACTTCTCACGAGTACCTACCTGTGGCTATCAGTCTTCTGCATGAGCTTGAATGTGCCTGCCTCCTCCTCAAAGCTACATGTACGTTACTTCAACATTATTTTAAGGGGAAAGAAAAAGTGGTTCTTTTACAAAGTTTGTGTGAATTGTCATCAATATTTGACACACACGTCTGCCCGGCAGCCTCAAGCTAGACAGCATGTGTGTGGGAAGGAGCATGGCTTATAGTTGGAAGTACTTTGTGTTGGCAAGTTATATTGATGCTACTGAATCTAAACATTGAGACCTGGACCAACAAACTAAGAACCATTCCATGCAACTCCCAGTGCAGATAGCTGCTGCATATTAATTATTGAGCATTTACAGCACCCCTAATTAGAAAGTTCTGTGACTTTTTATAGCTAGTACTTGGCCAGGTGGTGGTAATGCTTAATATTATAAGGGATCTTGTAACCAAAGTGAAAAGTCCCAAATCCAGGGAGTCTCCCACTTTGGGCAAGCCTTCTCAGAGACTAATAAGGATATAGAAATCAATAAATTTCATGCCCAATGTTTAGCTTAGTTAGTAATGCCTTAGAAGTTATCCTGTCTATCCTTTCACCCAGTGAAGAAAATTACTACTCCTTAGTATTTTTTCTACATAAAGAAGTTGATTTATGATTTGATTTTTACATGTTGTCTACAAATTAACATATGATCATGAGGATGGGCATGGTGGCTCATACCTGTAATACCAATACTTTGGGAGGCCAAAGCAGGCCAATCACTTGAGACCAGGGGTTTGAGACCAGCCTGGCCAATGTGATGAAACCCTGTCTCTGCCAAAAAATACTAAAATTAGTCGGGCGTGGTGGTGCGTGCCTGTAGCCCCAGCTACTTGGGAGACTGAGATGGGAGAATCACTTGAACTTGGGAGGTGGAGCCTGCAGTGAGCTGAGATTGTGCCACTGCAATCCAGCTTGGGCAACAGAGACTCTATCTCAAAAGAAAATATATATATAGTCATGAGAACAGGCACAAAAAATCATATTTGTAGATAACAATTATCCTTCCATTTGACTTTTCATTTAGGAAATTTATCCTTGTGCTATTAGCATAAATGATAGTTTTTCTAATAAGAAGAAATTAATTTTTGAGGTTTTATTATAAGAGGAATTATTACCTTTTCTTTCTAGAATTGGAGATTCCAGCTACTATTATGGAAGCATGGTTGCAGTGGGTTTTCAGTGACTTATGGTTCAACACAGAAATGATACTGTTGTAGTCGGTTTAGAGTTTCTCTTCTTGCAGAAGGCGCTGTCACTGCCGTATGGTGCTGCTGTGAAAACAGGAAGATTACATGCTGACCTTATTCACTGCAATAGTGATATCTCTTCTGATCAGATGGTAGCTTCTCAGAGTGTACAGGGAAAAGCAAAGTCTCAGCTCCCAGGGTTAGTCTCAGCTATGTTTGTCCCAAGTTACTGTAGCTGTGCCCTCCCAGTGTTACAGCTTTTTATTTTATATTTAAAGTCTCGGTCATTAATCCCAAGGTATGTACACAATGCTATAGTGGCTGAGTCATTTATACAATGCCTAGAGCCAACCCCGCCCCAGGAGAGGCTGTCACCATTTCAAACTCCTGAATTCCTCATCTCTCATTTCGGTGATGAGAGATATTCTAACAATGTTGAACATCAAAATAAAAAGTAGTTGGGGTCTTAAGCTCTGTGTAAATTCAAACTGACCTTTCTCCAATAGATTTTGTGTCCCATATTATAAAGGATGTGGTGTTGGGATGACTTTTATCAAAGTCTAAACTTTTTGTTACACCATGAAATTAATTTAGACTTTCTATTTTATTTTCTAAATTACTTTTAAGAATTTTCCTTATTTTGCTGTATGTTATAAAATGAAATCTCCATAGTCATCAGTCTATAGATTAAGCAAAACTTTCTCCCTTTTTCTTCATTATCCTTAGACATTATGTTTACCATGTTCAATTTAAAACACCATAAGGGAAACTACCTCAGTGTATAATGGACTGAAGTGAAAAATATACTACAGAGAAATTCTCAAGGACCATCTCAGAAATTTAAGGAAAAATGGAAAAGGAGATTGTAGGGGGAGGGGTATTGGGTTTTCATGTGTTTAAAGGTACAGAACAAGGAAGGTGAGAAGCAGCTAATGGTCTCTGTGTGGCCTCCAGTAGGGTCACAGAACAATGGCAGTTCTGCTGGGATGGTTCAGAAGAGGTTCTTTGCCTGGCCTCAAGTTTTAGTGTCAACAGCGCATGAAAACAAGCCTCAGGAGAGGAACAAATGACCGAGATGCTTCTAGTAAGGACCTTAATGAGGATGGAAGTGAAGACAAAAGGGAAGCTATGAGACTTGAAATATGATGCACCATTCCACAGTTTTGAATGTGGTCCTGTGGGAGAATAAAGACTGTTGTTTATTTACATTAATTTGACAGTCACAGATTATTTAAGAGTTCTGATTGCCTACATGCTTAATATTTGATAAACACACCCTGAGATACTTGAGCTAATTCACCTTCTTACTCCAAGTTTGTGGTAAAAGTTTATCCTGTATTTTAGATATCCTTAATAACTGAGAAAGAGTGATTATGGCAAGACGTAATATTCAGTGCAACTAATGATCAAGGAATTTAAGAAGAGTGTGCTGATAGAGGTTCTTTACATTAACTTGTAGCAGTAGCTTTAAGGAATTGTTAAAGTGACTTCTTTCACAAATAGGAAAGGAAAGGACAGCACCTAGAGGTCTAAATGTCATTTGTTCATTTGAGAACAATATACAAAAAGTATCAGAAATCAGTTTCTTTGCATTAAGAAGTATATGTGATAAGGTGAAAGTATCAGATTTGCATATTAAAAGCAATGGCACTCAGTGTCAAAAAGGACTGTGGATAAGGCAGAATCTTATCAATTACAATAAATAGAATGAAAAAAAGATGTAAGCATAACTCCAGGTGGCATCAAAATCTACTAGGCTAAGTCTATAAGTGCAAATGTGTATGTTAATTGCTAATATGTCTCACTTAGCTGAATGAGCCGGTATGTTCGGAATCCAAGTCATTCAGCTCTGCACTACTTCAGTGAAGCTGAAGTGGTTGCAGTGGAAGCACACACTTAGGTCTCCCAGGACAACCAAAAATACATGCACTTGCCCATCATCTTGATGTATTCCTAAAGAAATATAAACCCTATTTAAAACAGCTCTTAGGTCTAATGAAAATCTATGATATATATATTCAGATATATGTAAGGCTACATTTTTCAGCCCAGCACCTTTTCCCAACATAAATTCCTAAAGATTTTAACTGCATTCCTTTTTCAGCATAGAAGAGTTATGTTGTTAACTACTGGCATGGGAAGAGTGATTTTTCAGGAGGGAGTAGGGAGTGAGATAGTGCAAGGTGAAAGAAGGCATATTAGAATTACCAAGGGAGAATTTTCAAACTACCTCACATCCCCACTTCCTGACTTTGGGAGTCTGATGTGTGCCTCAGGAGTCTTAGGACCTAGTGGGGTGTGCAGAGGGGGATGCAGCTTGTTGGAGCCTCTCTGATCCAGTTCTGTTCCCACACATTCCCTCATGTAGAATTCCCGAAGTGAAGGAAAAAACACTTCTTCTCTGAAAGATTATTTAAAGGCGGACTCCTGAGGGAACAAATAAAACAAAGTAATCAGCGGAACAGTCTCAGTGTTCCTGACTGAGATTGAACCAAATGTTCCTGAGCATTCTTCTTCACACCTTTATTATCTTAGGAAAAAACAAGCTGTTCCAACTTTCTCACTTGACTGTCACATTCTAGGTAACAGAATGTCTCAGAATGCTCAATGGTACTGGAGGGATTATGCTGAATGCCCCTTACTGAGGGCTTCATCAAGTATTAATGCAAATAAAAAATTTAATATTATTATCTAAATATAATGCCCTAAATCTCACCCCCAGGGTTTCTCTTCTTCAGATAATTTTACTTATTCATGGAAATAAGTTAATACATGCCTATGGTACACTTTATAGTATCAACCTTTGTCAGAAATATTTAATTAATTGTATTTCATTCAATTGTGTAATTTGACTCCCAGGCCTCAGTATTGATTCAACCCCAAAAATATTTTGAATTATACCTTTCCTCAAGAAACAATAGAGGAAGCAACTTAAGTTTCTATCCACACAGTGGAGAAAATGTGGTACATATACACAGTGGAGTATTACTCAGCCATAATAGCAGAATGAGATCCTGTCATCTGCAACAACATGGATGGAAATGGAGGACAATATGTTAAGTGAAAGAAGTCAGGTGCTGAAGACAACGTTCACATGTCCTCATTCATTTGTGGGAACTAAAAATGAAAACAATTTAACTCATGGAGATAGAGAGTAGAATGATGGTTACCAGAGGCTGGGAAGGGTAGTGGGGGATGGTGTGGAAGGAAAGAGTGGATTGTTAACGGGACAAAAATATAGTTAGAGAGAATAAATAAGATCTACTATTTAAAGCCTGAGCATGGTGGCTCACACTTGTGATTCCAGTGCTTTGGAAAGCCAAGGAGGGAGGATCGATTGAGGTCAGGAGTTTGATACCTATGCCTAGGCAACATAGCAAGTCACATATCTACAAAACAAACTTTAAAAATTAGCCAGGAGTGGTGACATGTGCCTGTAGTCCCAGCTACTCAGGAGGCTGTGGCAGGAGGATTTTTCGAGCCCAGGACCTAGAGGGTGCAGTAAGCCATATTCCTGTCACTGCCCTCTAGCCTGAGTGACAGAGCAAGACCCTTTCTCTGAAAAAATTAAAAATCAATCAATCCATCAATAAACCTAGTATTTGATTGCACAATAGGGTGACTACAGTTGAAAGTAACTTATTGTACATTTTAAAATGCTAAAAGAATACAACTAGATTGTTTATAACACAGAAAAGGTCAAATGCTTGAGGTAATGGATATCCCATTAACCCTTATGTGATGATTACACATTACATACCGCTATCAAAATATCTCATGTACTTCATAAATATTTATACCTACTATGTATCCATAAAAATAATAATTTTTGTAAAGAAACAATAGCGCCCAGGCTGCCGTCTAGAGTGAATCATAGATACAGGATCTAGGAAATGACCTAACTATAAATAAATATATACATACACATAAATACTAATCTTTTTAGATATATAAAGAAATATGTAACATATAAATAGAGGCATCAATTTACATAAAACAAATTAGAATAGAAATGTTTATATATACAACAATAGAGGGCTGTATGCCATTCTGTAATGATATTTTGCCATATAGGAAGGAAGCAAAGTACACTATTCAATAAATAATGCAGGCACGTATGCACAGACACGCACACACACACACACACTCACACAAGGTCCCTACCTTAAACCATACACAAAAGTAAATTCCAGGTAGATTTTAAAACTAAATATAAAAACATCAAATTTTACAGACTTTAGAAGAAAATATTTTAAAATTCCTTGATAACATCAAGGTAAAAAATATTTTCTTAAATAAGACCCAAAAATCTACTACTGTAAAATTTTATTTTACATGCAATTACTTAAAATATTAAAAGTTAATATTAAAATAATAAAATGATAAGGCTCAGAGTAGAAGAAATAATTTATAACTCATATAACTGACAAAGACAGTACAGAATATATAAAGAACATCTATAAAATCAGTATGAAAAAAGACAACACAAAGGATATAAAGTTTCACTCATGCAGCATGAATAAGTTCTGGCGATCTAATGTAAAGCATGCTAACTATAGTTAACAATACTATATTGTGTACTTGAAATTTGTTAAGAAGGTAATCTTGTGTCTTCATCAAAAAAAGGGGGTAACTCTGAAGTGATAGGTATGTTAATCAGCTTGATTGTGATGATCATTTCATAATGTATACTTAACCAAAACATTAAGCTGTATACCTTAAATATATAGAAATATTTTTATCAATTATACCTAAATAAAGCTTTTTAAAAAGACAAACAACAAAATGTAAAAATGAGAAAATGACCAGATCTTTCATAGAAACAAAAACCTAAATTGGTAACAAATGTATGAAAACATGTTCAACTTTGCTAATATTTATGTAAAGATGTATTAAAGCTACAGTAACATACCATTTAAACCCCATAAGGTTAAGGGAAAAATTAAGAAGACTGATAATACCAAGTGTCTGTGAAAATGTAGAGGAATGGGAACTCTAACAAACTACTGATGGGAGTTTAAGTTGACACAAGCACTTTGGAAAAGTTTGGAAGTGTGTGAAAGATGTACTCACTATAATTAGGG